GTGGAAGAAGAGATGAGTGATGGCTCGAACGTGGCGAAGACGAACGAGGAGAGGAAGAAGAAAGCAGATCGCGATGAAGGAGGAATGCCCACAGTTCGGTAGTGTCACGATCTTCTCGTTGAGTGCAAATGGCGAGATGAAAGGTAACGTATGGATTAACCGAACTGCCGGGAATGTCCCAATCCGTTTGCTGATTACAAGAGGCTGTAGGAAACAGATCATGGAACGCAAGAAGGCCCAAAACGACAGAGAGCAGAGAGCGGCAGCGAGCCCGACACAGCCAGAGAACATGCAGAGGACAAGGACCAACAGAGGAAGACCCCCAGCAAGGATCAAGGAACGAGAGGTATTGGTTGCTCGCCGGCGGCAAGGAATATTCCGACTTGCATCCCGCGGCCCAAGGTTCGATGCCTCGCCGACAGGCTCTTCAAACGGCGCCGCGCTAAGTGAACGAGAGCGTTCTGCTGTAAAGCGCGATCCTGCCTAGTCAAGTGGATCCCACGCACACGAAAAACCGACAGACCGGTCTAACCAGACTCGCGCCGTTCGCTCAAAGTACACTTGTCAGTGGACACGATTGTTTCTCGATAAGCAATAATAATTCATTCATTATTCCTACTGTTAATTTCAATTCGGGGAATTTACACGCTAGTAGGTGCTGTTATCATGTGACATTTGTCTCGTTTCAAGTTTATTTTGCTTTGTGAAATAAGAGCAAAGACGAATTAAGACAGTATCTGTTTGGCAATCAATCAGACGAATTATTCGCATAGATTCTTCGCTAACGTTTTGTTCATTTCGCTTCGTCGCCACAAGCTTCAGTAGCGTTGACAACATGTTTGCATTCACAATATGTAAAAGTGACACTAAATTGAGTACAAATAATATGACGTGTATTTTCACACGTAGTAAATTCTTAATAAATACCAATTGTGCTTTGACAATTCGCAGTTAATCACCGTGGCACGTTGCTCTATAGGTAATTAATATTCTACACGTTGTTTTACCTTCAAAGTGACCGAGGACAACGACCCATACAACACTGAGAAGTAATAACGCACTACCGCACTAAATTAAACATGTGATATTAGTATGCCTCTGTTTGTTAGCTACTACTCTTCCTCCATTTAAGCAGAATTCTAAAATACTGAACACTGCCCCTTTGTGACATGCATTTCCAGAATATTGTTTGGGCTGGCATTTCGCTTCCGCCTCCGGTCCTCCTTCGAACCCAGCGGCCCCGAAGCGACGTTTCTATTCAGGAGGACGTCATCTCCCGCGGCCCGCGACGCAACCCGAACGAACCGCTCGCGCACACGCCGCTGCGCCTGCGAGCCTGGCCTGGGAGGGCAGGCCGAGGTAGGGGGGGGGGTGGGGGCAGAGGGGCGGAGCGAAGGCGAACGCTTGGCCGGTACGCAACCAGGCGGGGGGGGGGCGGGTCAAGTCCGAGTCGTAGACGGAGCACGTGAGGCGGGCGGAAGCCTGGCGGGTGGCGCTGGCTCACCAAGCGAGGCGGGGTGAGGCAGAGCGAACGTGCGGGCGGGCAGGCGAGGCGGGGCGGTTGCGGGCGTGCTTTTATGAAGACGTCTCTCCGCAGAGACTGGGAGGAGGGGAGGGGCCGCGTATTTCATAGCCGCCCCCGCCGCGCGCCCACTGCGCCGGCACGAAACTCAATATCCTCGCGCGGGAGGAGAGCGGCTGCGGCCGCCATGCGCTCCGGGGAGGACGCGAGGGTGTAAAAGCAGGAGGGGTGGGGGTGGAGAGCGAAATGGAAAGGAGCAGAAATCGAAAATACCGGTTTAAGAACACCGCAAAAGGCGAAGTCGGTTTCGAAATAAGACAGAGAAAATAACAAGATGAAATAGGGTTTCCTAAGAAAGAACTGGAGGGGCAAGAAAAAGGAAGAAAGTATAAGTAGAAATGATTAGAGAGATATCAACAAAAACTATGTGAAAACAATCGTCACAGAATAATAAACATAAGGCGGCCGTACATATTTGAAATTGGGTAGCAGAAATAGTACGCAATGGAACCAGCACTCCAACAGGAGACAACGGACCATGAGGAAGTGACAGGGAAGATGTAGTAATGACAGCATTCGTCTTCTAAATCGAACAGGCCATTAGCCTACGTACAGAAAACGAAGGAAAGGGGCAGGAGGCGGAGAGAGGAGGTTTCTCGACGAACGAGCCATTGCAAAGGCCGAGGAAGGGGGAAGAATGACAGATGAGAAAGGAATGGAAGCGGATAACGACAGCGAATGGGAATCGCATTCCGGCGAGGCCGAACGAGGCAGAGGGGGCGGGCGGGGGCGATCGCCGACCGCGGAAACGAGAGCCACATCACTTCAACGCCGTTGCGTGGAAAATTCGGGAGAATATTGGATTCCGCTTGCAAGGCAGCTGCGGCGACTCGCCACCGCGGCCACGGCAGCCAAAGGGGGGTGCTGAGTATTCCAAATCCCCTTCGGAGTTCGCCCCACGGGGCGGCTTCGCCCCTCGCTTCGAACACAACACGCCCACGGTTGCCCCTCAAACCGATTCTCTCCGTCTACGCTCATATGAATGATGAGCAACTTACAGTAAATCGTAAACCGTGTGAGAGAGAAAAAAAAACAACAACCTTAATGTCCACCTATGTTACCAAAGAATTTTCAAGATATCGGTGCACAAGACTAGGAACTTCTCAAGTCAAACATTTGAAAAGTGAAAAATTTGAATGTGGTTGAAATGACAACACGTGTAACCAAGAAGGAATTACTATCAATGTTATAAAGATATATGCTTTGTATTAATGTGAGAGATGAAACAGGGAATTCACAAAACAAATCTCAGATATACTCCACAATCCAGAAATAGCACAAAACGTATTCACCCTGACCAAAAAACACAACTAATGTATATTTATGCATCTTGTGACTTTATAATTACACGTAGAACATTAATTCTAATATAGAAATGCAAATGAGAGCCTTTGTTAATGTTACGTGCACAAAAAGTATGCCAAGGTAAACAACACTGGCACATAAAATCTTATACGACATTATTTACAATTTTCTTACACACATGCACAAGGTTTCAGGTTGTCTGTAATCTAACGTATCACAATAACTTTTTTACTGTCACACCAGTCGTCGCAGACGTAGACCGGAGTTCTCTTACGTAAGTGCAGAGATTAGCCAAAGCAACTGAATCATAATCCCGCAAACACGCAATTTACAACTAAATTGTGTCATACGTACAAATCACACCCGTACGGGGCGACGACACGACTCCAGACCTGAATGAATAACATCATCTTGTGACTGTTCAACACTTGTATATGCTGGGAAATTAATCATTTATAAGCCAGGTATTTTATATCTCGTTCACTAATACGCATACAAGATTATGTATGTACAAATGCACGCTTCGCATTCACACAAAAGGTCAGGTGGATTTGATATGAAAAGGCTTGACATACATCGAAAATTCGAACTAACAATGTAATCAAAATAGGAATATTATTAAATTGACCATTCTTGAGCAATTGTAATGTAGTTCATCTTACCTTTGTAATACTGTTATAATGTAACCGTATAGAAACACTTCTGAGCAGAAACGTTTGGAGAGCTGACTATTTCATAAACAATTCTCCCTGTTAAGCAAAAAAGTGTATTCTTGAAAACACAACCTCGTTAGTTTAGTAACGCGGGTGAACTTACTTCAAATCGGCATAGGTAATTTTCTTTGAAATTTATAATGATCTGGTTTCTTATTTTACGAATCTCACTGTCGATTAATTAGAATTAAACTTGAATTATGAAAATAATTTAAAAACACCTTTGTTGTAAGAACAATCCACAAAGCCCACTCCACTGTTTCATAATATATGTCTTCATTCTGCAATAAATCAAGCTCGAATCACCTCCGCTTGACATTTTCATTTAGTTTTCCATGGCTCCGCCTTCATTCTCAGAACTAGCATAAAGAAGTTAAGAATTGGACCTTATTTCCATGAAGCAGATTGGAGGTTGATGGAAGAACCATCGAAATCGTCTCATCGATTTAATAAAACCGTATGCAAGCACCAAGTCGACCTGAATTCTTTTTGCAACCCCGCATCAGCAGATTAACACACATCCTTCAAATATTACCTTCTTTCCGCGAGACAGAATGGGTGGCAGGCGGCAGCTGAAGGCGGGACCCTTGCAACGGTAATGAGAGAGAGGATCGCTCGATCCCACTCCGCCTCCCCCAAGCGGCGCGGCCGCGTGACGCGTGCGCCCCGCGCAGCCGCAACCCCGACAGGTCCCCGGGCGGAAACCCGCGGCCGGTTCGCGGCCACCTTCTCCCGCGCCGCCCTCCGAATCCAGAAAATCCTGACCGGCAACTTGCGAAAGGAAAGACGTCCTCCTCCCGCCCAGCGTTTGGCAGTTATAAAATCACAGTAAATGGAATGAGACGACTTATACATTTGAAATGGAAGCAGAATTGGCTTCAATCCGGTACATTATTTTGAATTTAACTCTTCTCTTTATTTTATCAATACGAAGGAATATTAATCATTAAGTCAATATTTTAATGCAATGCAGTAAGCTTTCGTTTATTCGACTATCAATAATCCGAAGAAAATATTATTTCACGGGTTGTAATAAGTATTAAAATATATGTGATAGATTTTTATTCCATCCTTTCAGGTGGCGTGGGCCTGTTGAGACATCTGCTATAACACGCCCATACATGATATTAGCAATCAAATATCACAAGATGGCGGTCGTAATCCGACCAGATCTTCAAAGCGTCACTTGGAGCTCTGCAGTCGCGGAGTGTCGCTGCTTCCGGTGGCGAATCACAAAGGAGTTGCTATATCAGCTGACGTAATCGTTCACGCGATTGTCCTCTTATGTCGTTATGCTGGTAGTAGTGCACAATTGGAACCACGTGATCGCACGATAAGTGGACAGATTTACGCAGGAAATACGTTATTTGGGAGCAAATTATGTCTTTATAAATGCTTACCCGAAAAGTAATTCTATTGAAAACAATACTACAAATAAATAGTAAATAGTTTAAAATGAAACCAAGCGACCAACATGGGTGTAGAAATTGGGAAATATTTCGTCAGATACGACAGCAGTCTGTATTATATTTTAATTATATTGAACACCTGATTAGGTTCATCTCGTTTCAATAAACCGCCATTCCTTTATATATTCTTGAAACAATTTATTCAGAAGATGTTGAATTTCCATTTGCGATAATACTTATCATAAATCTGTCAAAATTACACCATAAATGCCGCATCATCACTACCAACTGAATTTAGTGAGAACCTTTAATAACAGAGAGCATCCACGGCACCTAATTTTAATCACATAGTTGTAATTTACTTTGGGAAAAACATTTTTAATAATTAACAAAGATTACCTTTAGTTCTAATAGCTGACATTCAGAGAAGCTTTTAAAAATAACGAGATACATATAGTACTTACGAAAACATAATAGGAATCAATCCCCATTTAATATATTATTTCATCTCGCGTTCGTGCAGTTCTGTCTGGAAATCTTATGACTTCACTGCATGATTGTGCAAACTGTGAAATCGCCCGATTCCCTCAAGATTCTCTGGCTGGTTGAGTGCTCGCCACACAGCGAAAGCCTTTCCCAGCCGCTGACGAACAGCGAAGGGAGTCGACATGGCAGCGGGGGCGGCCGCAGGTGACTCAGTCCAGTTCGATCAGTCGTCATAGTCGTGGGTATTGTCCGACGGGACGAGATGGAATGGGAGTGGGCTAAAATGCACGGGACGGAGCGGGGCCGAATAAGACGGGAAGGAACGGGCCGGGACCGGACGGAACAAAAGAGGGAAGATTGAAATGGAATGAGTATAATAGGGCTAGGATTGGACAGAAATAGAAGGGGAGTTGCGGGACAGATCGTAGCGAGGAGGAACAGGACAAGAGGGCAGATCGGGGCATTTGACACGCGGGTCGGCATACCAAAGTCCGGGAAGGGAAAGTGTTAAGAGGTTAGGTAGGAGAGACGCGCGGGAGGCGGGAGCCGCCAGGGATGGAGCGAGCATCCTCGGCTGGCGGCGTAACGAAAGCAACCCACCGAGCGGGTGGAGGGCGTGCGGCGAAGGGCGCGGCGCCAGCTGGGCGCGTGGCGACGGCAAGTGACGCCGACGTCCAGGCGCACGCGAGCGCCACGTCGCGCGGCTCAGCGCCGCCGCTCCCCCCGCCTCCGCGATGAGGCATCGCCGTCCCACGACCGGCGTCCGCGTCGGCGCCGATGCCAACTGACCCCCCCCCCGCGCAGGCCCCGGCCGAGGCACTCCACCTCCCAGCAATCATCGCATGGACAACATTCCATGAAACGATACACGATTTCAAAAATGGAAATTATTCATCAACGATTAAAAATAATATCAACGAGCAATAGATCGATGATGAGTTTGCTGCTGAAAACATTGGAACTGATTTCCGCCTTCTTGAATATTCTGTACACGAAGATACTCAACTGATGATTTGGTAGCTTGAATAACGCAAAGGAACCGAAAAATCGCACAAATGTGTCATACATGACTGAAACGAATGTTGGTACTTTAAATAAAACTTATCAAAGGGCTTATAAAGATAACACAAACAGAAAGATATTGGTCCCACAGTTTGCTTTGCACGAAACGCTTTATCGTGTCATCTATTTTTAGCTGACAAGAAACACACCACCAGAGATAACACGCGTTCCAAAAATGCAACACACATGTTTTTCAAATGAAATACACGTAGGTCCAGCCATTTAATTAGATAATTTGATTTAGAATTTTTAAACCTTTAAAAAACTATGCCTCAGTGTGCATGAAAGCCGAAACAATTCCATTACTGCACACAATTAATTTCCTTTTCGAAAGTAGTCTAATGAATAGAATCATCATTTAATTGCAATTTGTCATGAAGAGATTGAAGTATACTACAAGCACGTAATAAAAAGCAAACATTTTTATCAGCGTTCCCATTTACACAAACTTTTGAACACATTACTTACTTTACCGACGTTATTTTCAAGCCATTACTAATTAATTGTGTACGTTACACAATTTTCCTGACTAGTAGGGAATTTTATGTTATTTAATACATTTGCCACCTCAGATAAATGCAGCATCTAGAACCAAATATTCGTTTTTTTAAATGTTATTACCTATTTCATTCGTGTCATCACCTAAGATTAAGAACTATCCTACAATGCCATATTTTCCCGTTTGAATTCAGCGTCCATTGGAATTCAATTACAGCCACAGATTTTCATCTAGTTTCACAACACTTTCAGGCCTTTCTGGCAAAGAGTGTCGCAAACTTGGAAAAGAGACTTGGTAACCGCCCTCCTGTCTCCTCCAGAGGACGGGGCGCGTAATGGCATCGACGCCGCGCCGCCAGCGAGTGAGGCGTCGGGGCGAGGCGTCGCAGGCAGGACCGTGGCGGCTTCCCAACTCGCTGTCACCTGCGGAGGCGTCGCGGCGCTCGACGCGACCTCCCGCCCGAGGTGCCGATGGCGGCGAGCGAAGACGAGCGCTCGAATGGCACAAGTTGGCAACTGAGGAGGAGGAGATGGAGGTGCGCGAAGACGGCGAGGAGAAGGGAGATTCGACGCAGCGCGAGTCGATGGACGAGACGGCTGCAACAGCGTGAACCGAGCAAAAAAGGTAGTATAATCGGATAAAATAGAATTAAGAGAGGTCGAGAGAAACGGTTTAGAGCAAAGAGCGAAAAGAATAGGTGAGCGAAGCGGTTCCGTTCGAGACAGGATGTAGTGGTATCACACGGAGACAATGACGTAGCGGGGCAGACAGGACGAATACAGGGCGACTTGCAGCATGGCTGGAGAGACAGGGCGGAGAAATGGGCGGGATGGGATGGACGACGAGGCAGGTTCGCCAGAGGCTAAAAGAGAGCAGGAGTTCGGGTGAGATTAGTGGAAGCAGGGCAGCAAGAGAAGAAATTGGCGGAAAAGAAGAGAGCGGGGCAGCGAAGAGCACAACAGGGCGGGTTGGGCTGACAACGTCATTCACGCGAGACTGCGACGGGACGACGCAGAACACATGTGAGTGCGGGACCTTGCAGGACAGGACGGTATGACCTGGAGCGGTGCCAGGCGGGTGGGCGGGGCGATATGGGATGAGCTGGGGCAATGCAAGGCGGTGGGCGGGGCGGCATGGGATGATCCAGAGCGGGGCATAGCAGATAGAGGGCGTCGGGACCGAGATGAGTCGGAGCGGGGCGAGGCCAATGAGGAGGGAGCGGAACCGCCGTGAGTGGGCAAGGACTGACGCGAGCAGCGCTGTTCTTGGCTGCCCTTCGCGGCGGCGGGCAACTTTCACGCGCCGCTTAACGCGGGCGAGGGCGGGGGCGGGCGCCGTCGCCGCGAGTCGCCCCGGGCGCCGCTGACGCTAATGCCGCTCGTTCGCGTCGCCCATCGCCTGTCGCCCGTCACTCACCCGCGCTCGCCGCGCAGCAGAGCGCGAACGCACCCGCGCAGACAACAGTTCACTCTTCACGACACAAATGCTACCAGACAAATTCACACTAATGTTCCCCTAAGAATTCACTTTTCCATAATACAATTAAGAGAGAACAGTACTTCACAATTCTTACATCTACTAAAATCAGAATCAGGAATAAACTCCTATTTAGTTTTTGTACTTCTATTACTTCCCCTGAACATTAAGGATCATTAAACCAAACACTTCAGAACTGGAGCTGTTTTTTTTTAAAAGCCATGAGGAGATTAAGACGTCTGACTCCGTCTTCTCCTCCATAATCGATGGAAACAGAAACACCGCTCCACTTCCTTTTTTATTCATTCATTTAAAAAATGAAATTCACTGAACTTGTTAAATCAATCCGGCCCACCACAAATAGTAAGTGCGAAGTGTAACATTCACAGAGTGTGAAGCGCTAGGCGCCATCGCGCGTGTTGGGGGTAGGCAGCTCCCGTCTCTGTCGCCTGCCCGTCAGGTTCCGCCCTCGCCACTGCCGTCGCCACCGCCTCCGCCCAGTTGATCATAAAGTCAAATCCGCGGGGGCCGAGGCAGCGCCGGGAGAAGCGACAACCGCCGGCGACAAGTGCGCCCCCCCTCCCTGTTATGTAAACACTCCACGAGCGAGCACCACTTTCTTCCTTTCGAGTCCGAAATGTAGTCACTATGAGGTAATTGAATGACGGATTGATGAAATACAGCGATGTGCACACAGAGTACTCCACTATGCAGAAACAATGGGTAACTACCGTTATCGAAAATTAACCTCACAATACAACAGTAATAAAGTAGTCAGTATGCAAATGATGATGATGATGATGATGATGATGATAAAACCCCTCCCTTGGGTTTTCGACCACAAAGGGGTCAGCTCGGTTCGAAACATGGCGTGATCGTAATCCGCCTCCAGAGCAAATGTTTGGGCCTGGTTGTTAGAGTAATGAGGTTAATATCTCGCTATAATTTTATAACAAAAATACAGACCAAGACGAAGGCTACGAGAGCTCAGCAATAACAAACTTTACAACTGTCATCCACTGTACTGCAGAATCTGGGATGAAAGCAATTTCTGTTGTTGTTTTTTTTAAATTACTCTTTGGTGCATTAGGTGAGTCTGAGAAATTGTTTCCAAACGTCTCACCTGCATCTATTCCCCGAAATTTGCATTGCGATTGGCCCTGGTGCGTAATGCCATCTACTCAACGTTCGCGGAGCTCTCCAGAAAAAATGACCAGCACCCAGCACCGCATATTCATTACATGTGTAATTGTTCTGTAATATTTCACACAATTCGCCCGAATTCGAAAAATTTCGTTGGTGCCCAGAGCGGGCGGTGGCAAAGGCCGCTGCGCCCACTGCGGCGGCGGCGGCGTGCGTGCAGGAACCCGAAAGTGCCCCGCCGCCGGACCTTCAAAGCAGGGCCCGTGAGAATTCTGCATCGGCAGCAAAAGCACGTTTCAGCGACCGGCGAAACCGGTAGCGCGAGGGCGAGTGAGACGAAGGTCCAGAAGGAAGGACGGAGCGATGTGCATTGGAATACCTAGTTTTGAATCGAGGAAAGCCATATTCAAAATATAGGAATTGGGCTATTCGGTTGGGTAGAGAGAAAAATTAATGAAATTGTTCTTGTTATTTAAACGAATACGTACAAATCGTTGAATACATTTTTCTTGGAGAAACTTTTAATGGGGGAAGATTGGATAAAACATACTCGTAAAATAGTTCGAACATATTTGTAGTGGAGCTTGACGGAAGTCAGCTGTTACGGTATTTTGGGAACGAAGAACTAGCGAAACTATTAAAATGTACATGCATGCGGTCAAGTGGATAAAAAGAACCACACATGTCCCGACACAAGGGCGTCCGTCAACTTGACCTCCTCATTTCCCTAGCTCGCCGCCAGTGCCCCCCCCCCACCCGAAGCTCCTCACATCGCCCCACCCCCGCGAACGGAGCGCCGCCAGCTAGCGAGCCCCGCCCTAAGGGCTCGCGCCCTCGCCCTTGAGGCCACTCCGTTCCGCCAACGAACACGGCCTCCGGGCCACTCTGCTGGGCGGAAGGGCCGCGGACGGGAGGCCCTCGGGCCGAGGGCCCACACGGCGCAGGTGCTGCACGAGCGCCCTTCAGCCCTTCAGCCCATCGTCGCCCGAGGCGCCGCAACGAGCCAGGGTGCGAATTGAGAAGCCCTTTTCTACATCTGATAAATCAAAAAGAAATCCAATCCACCTGTTAGACATCTTTTGACTGTGTATTCATCCCTCAAATCGGGTTTAATCGAAACTCAACAAATTCTATGGAAAACTATAGCCTTAAGCTTTCAAAATCACAAAAGTTCTGCAAAAGCCCAAACAAATCCATTCCTAACATTCGTTTTATGAAAAACTATCTTTTGCATTTATCGAGTTTTGAAAAAACGCTCCTCGATTGGGGAGGGGGAGAGAGTAACCTTCTGGAAAAGTTATTAACGTCATTAAGCTGATTAAAAGCATGAAGCTGAAGAAAACACGGACGCGGTTGAAAAGCAAGTCAAAAGACGAAATTAATACCCGACTGAGCATGGTATTTGTATTGTCTGTTGTTAAACATTTTCATAATACCACATACTTATAAGAAAAAAAAATCATGTAAATAAATACCATTTATTTGAATCGCAGTTCTTAAAACCCATCTTGGGCAACAACTAATTTGTTTCGGCAGTTTTCAAAGAATGGCCGTCTGTACAAGTTCTTAACACATTTCGAGCATTAAAACGGTCTTTCTGCTCCTCAGTTTGGTGTTGTTATGACCATATAACAGCGCAGTTACAAGAAAGTTATACAA